TCATTCCATCAGTTCCTGGTGCCTTGTTCTTTGCCAATTCCTTCAATGCACCTCACATTAGAGGCGAGTAAAGTGTTTGACTAAATATAATAGGCTAATTTTTAAGTTGACAATTTTGTATGGCTTACAAATGATGCTATAAATATTGGCAGAAAAAAGGTTCCCCACCCCTGCTCTAAGACCATTCATGATTTGGTTCTCACCCATCTTCCTAAATTTCACCTCACACTATCCTCTGTATTCTCCCAATTTGTTGACGTCACCAAGCTCTTCTTGCCTGTTTTAAATCCTTTGTAAAATCTATTCTGCCTAGAATGCTAGTCTCTTGGCAATGTTATATCCTTCAGCAATTACTTTAAATGTTAACTTTCTCTGATCCCGACACAAGTAGGTTTCCCTGGCTATTATCTCAGCACTTGCTTATCTCCTTCATTTGTTGTTGTTGTTGTGAAGTACCCTTGATTGGATTACGACCCATAGTGACCCTGTATAGGGTTTCTGAGGAGTGACTGGTGAGCTTGAACCGCCAACCTGCTGTTCAACCTTTGCAGTCCAGCGCATTAACCCACAGCACAACACCAGGACACCTATCTCCTTCATAGTACTTACCATAATTTGTAAGTATACACTTATTTGCTTTTATCACTGATGACCTATACATTTGAAGCATGCGAGAACCATTTATGTTTTGTTCAATATTGTGTACCATGCCCTTAGCAAAGTGCAAGTACAGTGTTTTGTATGAACGTAAAATTCATCACACTTTTATATCTCCATTTTATATGTCTCCCCTTCCCCAAGAGTTCTTTGTCAATATAGAATTCTCAGTTTTTGAATTGTTAGAACTGAATTCAGTAACATGTTGATTAAACTGAACTAATTAAAGCATAAAGATGAGGTGACTAACTACACTGAGGTGGTAGGAGTAGAATGAAGAAGTGCAAGTTTCTAGAAGAATGGATAGTGGTACAGCATTCATGAAGACAGAGCATAAACAGTAAACAGTTTTGGAGGAAGGAAGACATACAGTTCAATTTTAGGCAAAGTGAGGACTCTGCAGAATATACAAGGATATTCAGCAGATATTTGATAATATTAGTCTTCTAGGTTGAAAGAGAAGCAAGTTCATATATGCAGATGATAATACAAACCTTTAAAAGTCATATACCCCATTTGAAAATATTACAGAAACAATTTCTAAGGGAAAAATAAAACTGCACACACATTTTTCCCCCAGGCTTCCTGAAAGCTATCTGTGATTTTACCATAGATATAAACTGAAATAATGGAGATTCATAACATCAGTGAATGAACAGAGACAAATGCCTTGAAGCCACTCTTCACAAGAGTCTTTGTGTACAGGTCTCATCTCCTCCTACTTGTAACCTCTCAGTCTATTTCATCTTATGTAAAATGGGAATAACAATCATCTCCCTCCCCATCCATTGCCATAAAGTTGGTTCTGACCCATAACTACTCTATCTAGGGTTTCCAGGACTGTATTATCTTTAAGAGCAGACAGCCTCAATGTTCTCCCTTGCGGCAGCTGGTGGATTTGAACTGCTTAGCAGTCCAGTGCTTAACACACAGTGCCCATAGGGTGCCTATATCCCCCTTGTTGTTGTTATTAAGTGCCATTAAGTTGGTTCTGACTCATAGAACTCTGTCTAGGGTTTCCGAGGAGCGGATGGTGGGTTTGAACTGCCGACCTTGAAATTTAAATTGACCTTTCAGTCCAGTGTATTATCCTGCAGTGCCAAACCAGAAGTCCGTATCTCCCTTGTTGTTGTTGTTAAGTGCTGTCGAGTCGATTCTGACCCATAGAGACCCTATATAGGGTTTCCAAGGAGCAGCTGGTGAGCTTGAACCACCAACCTTGCAGTTTAAATGACTTTGCAGTCTGGCACATTAACCCACAGCACCACACCAGGACTCTGTATCTCCCTTAGAAGGTGTTATAAAAATTAAATGGGAACAATGTAAATTGTGTGGCACAGCATACGACCCCAACAGAGTTATCTATAGCTTTTGAAGTGGTTATCTTGAGTAGGACAACACTCATTTATTCTACCAAAACCCCAAACAAACCCACTGCCTTCAAGTTGACTCCAACACATAGTGACTCTATATACAGGGTTTCCAAGGCTGTAAATCTTTACAGATACAGACAGCCTCATCTTTCTCTGGAGGAGCATCTAGTTGATTTGAACTGGGGACCTGTTGTTAGCAGTCCAGTCCTTATCCTACAGAGCCACTAGGGCTCATGCTATTGTTGTTAAGTGCTGTTGAGTCAGTTCTGACTCATAGAGACTTTGTACAGGGTTTCCAAGAAGTGGCTAGTGACTTTGAACCACACCACCCTTGTAATCAGCAGCCCAGTCAGTGCTCATCCTACAGTGCCATACCAGGACTCCTATTGTAGTCATCAATGTCCCAGTTCTACCTCAACTAGACTGTAAAGCAGGCGTCTAATGTTCAGATTTTTTTATTCTTCCGGGGCCAAGAACTGTATTTGACACGTTTTAAGTGCTCTATGAATTACCTGCTGAATGAGGAAACTAAGGCACAAGTCTCAGTCATACAGCTGAATTTCCAGCTTCCTTTTACTAATGAGTCATCCCAACTGTAACTATGACTACAGTATAATAAATCTCACAGGAGAGGGCAGTAGAAGAGAAATGAAGTAGGTGAATTTTAATAGACCAAGATTATTTTGTAAAATAGTACGTCAAGTCAAAGCACACTTTATGTTGTGTGCTTTAAATTGGAATTAATGTATTTCAGTGGTACTAGTAGTCTCACTCTCATGTGGGAAAACAAAGCAAGTAAGTAAGATAAATCATTCATCAACAAAGCCATTGTTTACAAGTTAAAATATTAAGGCTTGTGCAGTTCTGCAGCAGCTAAGCAGAATAGCATTAGTTTAGCTAGTATTTCCAACTATTAATCTGCAAATTAATTCGCAGTTACCAGTATTCTCCCCGCCCCCTCAATTTACATATGTGGGCGTTCGCTCGCTAGGGGAATTCCAGTTTGTGCTTTCAGCTGTCTAGCTTCTCCCCCCACCCCGCCACCCCTAGTCCCTTGTCAAGTTTCATGTTCGCTCCACCGCTGGATCGAGCTTCAGCTTCTGTTAGGGTATTGCCTCAGTGGGACTCAGGGATGAACCTGATCATCCAGATCTAACCACGGCGCTCCAAGAGCGCAGCTGGGGGACAGGCAAGTGGGCACGAAGCGGACGGCGAAGAAACGTGCCCCGGGACAAGGTTCGAGAAAATCAAGTCCTGTATCTAATGATTTTAAAACTTGCATTAACAAGTAGGTCTTCAGGGATCCGTTTCACTAACGTCCCTTAGATCCAAGGCTCGACGCGGTCCAGCCGTACCCTGACCTTCCGCTCCCTGAACTAGGGCTTCCGTTTTCCTTTTCACAAGGGTTTGTAGCCGGCTGCCGCCCACTCCTACCCCGCGACTCTGGGTGGCGTCTGGGCAAGGGGGTGCTACTCACGTCCTTCTTCACTTCAGTCAGGTCCTCCTCGGTGAGGGACGGCGCGGGGGGCTCCATGGCAAAGGCAGAGATGAAGCTTCTTCCGGGTCTGGCGCTCGGGCCGCGCGGCCCCGCCCAGGCCTGGGGGCTTCGGCCTCAGGGCAAGGGGGAAGTAAGGGAGGCGGAGCGGGAGAAGAAAAGAGGTTGCCCCTTCGAAAACAGGAGCTTGGGGGTCAAACCGTAGCGCTTCCGGCTCCGCCTCTGAGGCCAACGACGCTTAAGGCGCCAACGCGTCGCGGCGCCCAGGTAAAAGCTGAGCTCCTTCGCTCTTCTAGGTCTCAGGCACAGACACCTCGGGGAGGCAGGTCTTTCGCTAGAGCCCGCCCTACCATGACTGCACCCAATCCTTAGCAGCCTGACCGTTCCTGTTCCCGCCCACGGTCGGAGCCATTCAATGGTAGCCCCGCCCACAAGGGGGTGTCGCCTCAGGCCACACCTCCTCGGGTCGTGCGTTCCAGGTAAGGAATCATTTCTGTGAGTGGGGAGTGTTTAGCAGTCTGCCCTTACGCCCCACCTTCACAGATTGCCCAGTCAGGTGGAATCTGGTAAGGGCTCCACTGTCATTTTGGGTTCCTCCTCTTTTCCCAGACCCTATCCTACAATTTCCTGTTGCTGGGTTTACTCACTAAGCTTTTAAATTATGTGTCATGCTGCATACATAAATAGTGTGGCACTGTAGGTTAATGCGCCAGAATGCAAAGCCGGTTGAACTGCAAGGTTTGCGGTTCATGCTCACCAGCTGCTCCTTGGAAACTATATAGGGTAGCTATGGGTCAGAAGCAACTCAATGGCACAACAACAACTGCAGTAAATGTAATGTTTGTTTTTTTAAAGAAAAAAATGTTTAATTTTTTTTGTTGTGATTTGAGTGAAGGTTTACAGAGCAGATAATCAGTTTTACATTAAATAAAGGGAATGCTTCATTTCATTCCAATAATTGCAATCCCCTCAAAGTAACATCACTTATATCACCTCCTCCCTTTAATTCTTGTTTTCATTCATCCTTTCTCAACCCTTCTAAATGATGTCCTGAGGTAAATGCTGCCTTTTGATCTTGAATGGTTGACCACTGAAGTGTGCATACCTCACTAGTGTCCCCAAAATGCCTATCTACTGCTTAGGTGAAAGTTCAGTTCTAGACCTGAAGGGTGACCAAGGGTTCCTCCAGGCTCTTTCTGACCAATAAACCTTGTCTTTTTTAATATATAATTTTGAATATTTTTCCACATTTTCTCCCACTCTATACAGGACCTTTTAATGTGATTTCTTTCAGGGCAATTGGCAGTGGTAGCTGGGCACCAATTAGTTAGTACTTCTTTTCTCAGCTTCATGGAGACTGATGTTCACATGTTCCATTAGTCCATTGAACTAATTATTTTCAAGCATCCTCAATTTTTATCACTCATCTTTGAAAGAAATTATTTTGACAGAGAAAAAGAAACCACTACTATAGCCCCACCATGTTAACACTCAGTTTAACATGGACATATTTTTAAAAATTACTATTTACAAACATTTTCATCATACATTAATCTATTGAACGGAAATATGCCTACCTCAGAAGACTGCTGTCAGGACTTAAACAGATTTGGGGCACCCACCATAAATCATTCTTGTTGTCAAGTACTATCTGGTTGGCTGGTTCTTGTTTCTGAGAGCAGCTGGTGGGTTTGAATCTCCTACCTCTCATGGTAGGCAGTCCAGTGCCTTCTGCAAGCCAAGTACTCAGAATAAAGCTCTAATATATCTCTTCTCATTATGGATTTATTAAAAATCCTTTGCTCACATTTAGGTTGCATGGACTAGTTGGCGGCTGCATAGATAGCTACTTGTTTTGAGACCCCAGACATGATCCTTTTCTCATAGCCAGGCACTATCTGATTCTTTTACCTTGCTTTACTAAAGCACCCAAATCTTCAGTGATTTCCTCATGAGAGTGAGGATTGAGTAGGCCTTATTTTTAAAATGGGAGCTCAAATCCATTCATAGAATATATATATATTGTTGTTGTTAAGTGCCTTTGTGTCGGGTCTGACTCATAGTGACCCTGTATAGGGTTTCCGAGGAGCAGCTAGTGAATTTGAACTGCTGACCTTGTGGTTAAAACTGACCTTGCAGTTGAGTGTTTATACTACAGAGCCACATTACAGTACCACACCATATATATGTATGGTTCACATCGTGGGTAGCATATTACCGTCCTCAGAAATTACATAAGTAACCTCCATACAACATTTGAAAATAATAATAATAATTGTTGTTGTTAGGTTCCATTGAGTAGGTACCAATTCATAGCACCCCTCTGCATAAAAGAACAAAACACTGCCCAGTCTTGCACCAATGTCACAATCGTCGCTATGTTTCAGTCCATTGGTGCTGCCACTGTACCAATCCATCTCATTGGGGTCTTCCTCTCTTCCTCTGAATCTCCACTTTACCAAACATGATATCCTTCTCCAAGAACTGATCCCTCCTGACAATATGTCCAAAGCATTAGAGACGAAGTCTGGCCATCATGGCTTCCAAGGAGCATTCTAGCTGTACTTCTTCCAACACATATTTATTTATTCTTTTGGTAGTCCATGTACTTTTAATATTCTCCTCTAACACTATAATTCAAATGCATCAATTCTTCTATGGTCTTCTTATTCACTGTCCAACTTTCACATACATATGAGGTTATTGAAAAGACCAAGGCATTAGTTAGGCACACCTTAACCTCAAACTGAGATCTTTGCTCTTGAACACTTTAAAGAGGTCTTGTGCATCAGATTTGCCTAATGCAATACATTATTTGATATCTTGACTGCTGTTTCCATGAGTGTTGATGGTTGATAGGAACAAAATG